ACCACGCCCGGCTGATTTTTTGATTTATTGTAGAGATGAGGTCTCACTGCCCAGGCGGGTCTTGAACCCGTAGACTCAGGCCATCCACTCACCTCAGCCTCCCAAAGGCGCGGGATGACAGGCTGAGCCACCTATTCTTGAGATCACCCTTAGCTTTAGAGCCGGAGTGCTCCCTGTGGAATGTCAGGGCATATGTTCCTGCTTCTTCCCTCAGGGGAGCCCTCTGGACCAGGGCTCTGGAGGTGGGGATGGGGCATGCAACACCCTAGCTCTGGAAGCTCGGTGGTGGAGGGACAGCTGGCAGTGGGGCCTCTTGCGTGTCTCTCCCGCTGTGGGAGCATTGTCTGGTGAGTGGGCTGTCGATCCCTGGTGTGCTTGTGTGCCATGCCTGAGGGTAAACAGAAGGCAGCCCTGCCTGACAGGGCTTGCCAGGCTTAACCTCAGCAGCGGGGGCTGGGGACAAGGACTCCCGAAGGATGCAGAAGGCCCTGACCTGGGGGCTAAAGAGAGGGAGCCCTGAGTTCCCGGCAGGTATCTAAAGCCTGACTGAGAGGAGTCTTGGTTCACGTACCGCGGGCTGGCCAAATTTTCATAGATTTTCTGACTGAATTTTCATAGATTTTATTGCGCAAACGTTTCTCCGTTTGCCGTTGGCCTATAGGACCATTTCCAGGGGCCTGGAGTGTGTGTCCTATAATTTGCAGCCAGTGGGGCTTGGGCTCCTCCCACTCTTGTCCTCCCAGTCCCCTCCTGTAGCTGCCTTTCGAGCTAGCCTCCCTGCCTCCACACTTGGTGACCAGTTCCTTCACGATGAGCCCCTGGCCGCCCTCGGGAGGAGCACTGATGTGCTCCCTCCTCCCTTTTGGATTCTGCTTCTGTGACCCGCAGGCCCAGAGAGTCACCTTCCCTCGCTAACTTTCCTAGGATGGGTTTGGGCCCTGTGGGGGTGCAGAGTTTGTCCAGGAAGCACAAGTCCCGGTGGCCAAGTGCTGTGATGTGGCGGGCATTGGTGCTGAGGGTGTCCTTGGAGCTGCTGTGCTCACCCGTGGTCTGACCTGACCTGGAGATTAGCACCGGCCGGCGCTGCCTCCATTTTGCTGTCATCCCACACGAACATTACCTTGGATTTATTGTTTTTTCTCTCTCCAGGGGCCACTCAATAGTGAGTCATCCAACCAGAGCTTGTGCAGTGTGGGCTCCTTGAGTGACAAAGAAGTAGAGGTAAGAAGCTGCATCTGTGGCATGATGTCACATGTCCACGTGTTCAGGCCGGCTTGGACGGTACCACTGCCTCTGTGCACATCTGCCCTCTGAGCTGTGCACTGTGTGCATCTGCACAGCTGTGATGAGGATTCACGGGTTCGGACTATTGCCATCCTGTGTGGGTTTTGACACTAATGTTTTGCTTTGTTGCCATCAGTGAAGGGCAGAAGTCGACAGCATTTTCCTGCTGAAGTGGATGATAAGATTTTTTGTTGGGCAGGTAGCATAGCTGCCTGGACACAGTCTGAGTATACTTCTGCAGCTGCCTACTGTGCGCTTGGATAAAACTTTCACTTAGCTAGAGTCATTGAATTGACTGTGCAAATCTTTTCTTTTTGGAAAGAAAGGATCTGTCTAAAGTCTCCTAAAGTAGAAATATTGCAGCAGCAGTTGTTTTCGAACCTGCCATAGCATAGACATTTGTCCTGCGTTTGTGCTTCATAAAATATCTTACCTAAGCTTTGTAGCAACTCTGATTTACAGATGAATAAATTAAAGCTCTGGCATTTTAAGCAGTTTGCCAAAAATTGTGTAGATAGTTTGGTTCTAGACTCTACCCTTTCTTATACTGTTTTAGGAGCAGAGACCCTGCTGGGCCCAGTGGCACACACCTACAGTCCCAGCTACTCAGGAGGAGAGGTGGGAGGATCACAGGAGCCCAGGAGGTCAGGTCCAGCTTGGGCAGCATAGTGAGACCCTGTCTCAATCAAGGAGTAATATAGTGCATGAGTGCAGGGCAAACTCAGGCCTTACTGTGCCAGTCGGAGCTCCTTACATGCTTGACATCTTGTGTGTGCTCTGCTTTTCTGATGTGAAAATGTATCCAAATGCTAACTAATTGTGACATGTGTGGTATTCAACAGACTCCTGAGAAAAAGCAGAATGACCAGCGCAATCGGAAAAGGAAAGCTGAACCATACGAAACTAGCCAAGGTAGTAATCATTTCACACCGACCAAACCCTGAATTCTCATGTTCTTAGATGTAATTTTCTATTGCACACCACATAGTTGGTTTGTACTTAGGGGTTTCTCGCAGGAAGTTTCTAAACCTGGAGGGAACTGTCAGGCTGTCTGTCATAGACTTGCCGTTGGATGTACATCTGACAGAACAGTGTCCAGTCTCTGTTCTAAGTTAACGATCTGCTCACCATGGTTTTTCTCCAGACCAAGCATGTATTATGAAAAGTGGTCACACTGATGTTTTCACTTCGCCTTGCATTGGGTCAGGGATTTGTAGGTGACTGACAGCCAGAAATGGCCTTATTTGATTACTGTCTGTCACCCGCTGTTCTTCCATGATACTCAGTTGAACATTGGGATCCACTGGCATCAGTCTGTAAATGTGATGGTTATGTCAGCTATCTTTTTTCTTTTTTTTTTTGAGTCAGAGTCCCCTGGGCTCAGGCAATCCTTTCACCTCTGCCTCCCAAAGTGCTGGGATTACAGGCATGAGCCACCATGCCCTGCTGATGCCAAATATTTTGATATATTCAGAGGAAGGACACAGGGCTGGGTTTTTTTTCTCCCATTCTAAGGAATGGAAGTCCAGTCTTTTTGCCTTATTCTTATTTGCTTTAGTCTACAGGTAATTCATTTTGTCTTTTGGAGGAAAGTTCTCCCACAGTGACAAAATCATATAGAATTTTGTGTGAAATAAAATCAGCCCGTCAGTTCTGAGGAGTTTGTTCTAAATTCTCCATTCCCTTAGACTGGGGTGTAGATTATAGGTTAGTTTATTTTGATTCACAGTTATGGCATCAATTTTGTTAGGTATTTATAAGGAGGCTATTGAATCGTAAAGCTGTGAAACATTCTTCCTCTCACTGCTGGTTCAGTCTTTGGTCCTGTGGAGGAAGCACTGTAGTTAAAGTGCAGATGTTTTGGCTTATCTGTTAAAAGTAAAGCTGGCGCTTGAGTTGTGGCCGTCTGTGCCGTGATTGCACAGAAGGGCAATTTTAGCGAATGCTGGTTTTCGCGTGACTTGGAAAACTTGTACTTACTTTGGTTTCATTTTCAGGGAAAGGCACTCCTAGGGGACATAAAATTAGTGATTACTTTGAGGTAAGTTACATTTTTGGAAAAAAACTAAGTGCTTTTTAAAACACGGAAGTCCTTGTGTCCTCCGGAGGCGTAGAAAGCAGTCAGACCTGGCCTTGACGGGCACTTCTCCCTCCCCACCTCCACCAAGTGAGACTGCCCATCCTCAGTCAGAGGAAATGACTGTGACTGCGAAACACAAACGTGGTTACGCTGTGTCTTGCCTGTGATGATGCAAGAGTTCACAAGGAGGCAATGCTTCTCTGACCAGGCGGGCTTCTGTCTTATAAAGACTGCGGTGGGCTGGGTGGACTTGCCCCTTTAGCCAGCCGACCGTGCGGGAGCTCTGACCATCCTTAGTGGTCTAAACAACCCTGGTGTCCCCCCCCGCCACTGCACTGCGCTCCGGGCACTCGGAGACAAGGAGGGAACATACTTCTCTCGTGTGCTTTCCAAGCCCCCAGGACCTTCAGCTTCTAGCCGTGTTTTCTTGATATCTTGGTACGTTTCTGCTGTAGCTCCTTCTTAAAAACCCCACTGAAGAGATGGCAGAATCTGACAGAGGTGACATTTTCTCTCTTGAGTAAGCCGTGTTGACTTAAGGGGCCACGTGTGATTAAGTCCTGTTGTGTTAATCTTTGACCTCCTTATCTGAAATGAAGCACAGTACTGTTTTGAATTATTCATGTCCGTTTTTCCCTGTTGGCCAGTTTGCTGGGGGAAGCGGGCCAGGAACCAGCCCTGGCAGAAGTGTTCCACCCGTTGCACGATCCTCACCGCAACATTCCTTATCCAATCCCTTACCGGTAAGCATCGCCCGGAGAACCCCAAGCCTGTTGCGGGAGCAAGCAGCCCAGGGATCCACGCACACAGTGGCGCTTCCACGGATTCCCGTGGGGCTGAGGCACGGGGAGAAGCCCATGGTTTTACCTAAGTCACTGACTCAGAGTCCACGCTAGGTCCACAGATGAGCTTTTTACAAGCACAGACACTGCTCGCCCAGTGTAATAAGTTCCCTTGAAGCCCACAGCTCAGTGGTCAGGGAGGTGAATCCAATCCAGACATAAGATTGCTGTCTCCCCAGCTTCTGTGCTTCTGTGTTCCTCTTTTCTTAAGTGGGGCTGCCCCTCAGGGTCTGTGAGACCTTCAGGGCTCACGGTGGTGCAGTGAGAAGCTGCTGCTGTGCCTGTGGGGATGGGTTTGTTTTCACTGGTGAGAGCGGAAGGTCTTAGAAACAGCTAAGTCAGTGGTTCCGGCAGGCAGCTTGGCCTCGGGGGACATCTGGTAGTGTCTGGAGCCATTATCGGTGGTCACAGCCAGGCGCTGTGGGAGGTGCCTCAGGCACCTGCTGCACAGAGCCCGGGGCCACTGGGAAGCCTGCGGCAGCAGTCGCCTGGCCCCCACACCCACAGCACCCAGGTTGGGAGTCCTGAGTGGGCTGACGGGGGTTGTGTGAACTTGCCCCGTGCCTGGGCCTTGCTGGGCCTCTTGCCCTGCCAGTTGCCTGGAGGGTCTTGGGTGTGGCCTCCAGGGCAAGAGTTGCCGTCTTGGGTCCCTGTTTGAAGGTGAAGTTGGTTTCTTTGCTTGGCAGAGGTGTGTAGTGCCGCTCCTCCCGAAATGCCCCAGGCTTCTGACTGGCCCGGTATTTTCAAATGAACATCCTCCCCCACTGCTGTCTCAGAGAGACATCATTCATGAGGACTCCGGTCATTGTTAAGGCACTTAGGAAAATTTGCGCAAACAGCTGAAAATCTCTTGCTGCTGTGTCATCCTTGCCGTATCTTAAAATGCTGGACATGTTTGAGGAAAGACCTGATTAGATAGGTGGAGGTTTGTCAGATAACTGTTGAGGAAGCCTGTGTCTCTGTTGTTGTTTTTTTAAGTGTTAGACCAATTAAAGTTTAAAATATCTTAAATGAGATTGCAGATTATATTTGTAGAATTTCTAAATGTTGTCTACTTTTTAAAAATTTTTGTATGGGATCTCGCCCTGTCACCCAGGCTGGATATACAGTGGCGCAGTCATAGCTCACTAAAGCCTCGGACTCAAGCGATCCTCCTGCCTCAGCCTCTTGAGTAGCAGGGACTATCGGCACATGACTCACTCTTTGAAATTTATTGTGGAGACAGAGTCTTGCTCTGTGCCCAGGCTAGTGTCACACTCCTGGCCTCAAACGATCTTCCCGCCTTGGCCAGCCAAGTAGCTGGGACTAGAGACTTGAGCCACCACCAGTCTCTGCCACTCTTTTCTTCCCAAAATGTTTGTTTCTTTTGGTTTTTTAACAGCGTGACCTCCGCTGGGCTCGGTAGCTCAGCCTGTAATCCCAGCACCTTGGGAGGCTGAGGCGAGTGGATTGCCTGAGCCCGTTAGTTCAAGACCAACCCAGGCAACTTGGTGAGACCTCGTCTCTACAATAACTAGAAAATTAGCCAGGAGTGGTAGCACATACCTGTAGTTTCAGCTACTTGGAAGACTGAGGCGGAAGGATCGCTTGAGCCCAGCAGGTCAAGGCTGCGGTGGCCGGAAGCGTGACACTACATACATTCCAGCCTGGGCAACAGAGTGAGACTCCAACTCAAAAAAAAAAACAGCGTGATCCCCTACCTTGTACGTGTCAGCTTAGGTAGAATCTTACCTGAAGCCTGAAGCACTGCTCTCAGTGCCCTGTAGACCTTCCTGCCTGCTGGATGGAAGTGGTGCCCGCCAGCGTTGCTAGGCATTAAGGCAGGCCCTACCTCCATCTCCCATCCCATGTTCTCCTCTGCATCCGGTTCCATTGTTGGCTGTGCCCTCGCTCCCCTCCTTTGCTTTCTCCAGCACATCTGCCCGAAAGAGGCCAGGCTGGCTCATCCTCTGCCTCTCCTTGCCAGCCTGCCTGCAGGTAGCCCTGCCCTGGGTTGAGGAAAGTGCCGCCCTAGGCTGACGGGCCCACCTGCCTGGGGCCATCATTTTCCAGCACCCGGCTGCCCTTAGCCCTGCTGCTTCTGGCCATTTGCCCCCACTCCCGTCTCTGCCCCACGAGAGGGCCATATGTCTGTTGTCTCCTGCAGGCCTCCAGCAGTGCTGCTGCAGCTGATGGCCTTGCTGTTTCTATTTTGCTAAGAAAATTGAAACTGTCAGAAGCGAGCTTCACGCGCCCTATATCTGTTGCACTGCTTGGACTTGAAGATGTCCAGAGGAGCTCGTGCTCCCCCTCACCCCCAGACAGCACCTCTCTCCTGGTGGCCCTGTCCAGGTGGATGGCCATTCACACTGGCCGGGTTTCGAGATGTGACCTCACGTCCCCCGAGTGAAGCCATCAGAAAGAACTGCTCTTCTTTCTTGTGTCTCAGTGTCAGGCCGCTGGCCTGTCCTGGTCCTCTGCATCGGCTTCGGAGGTCGGATGTGGTCTCTTTGCCTTTGCCCTGGCTCGCTGTCATCGCCCACATGGCTGCTAGAAAGCCAAGGCCGTCCTGGCCCTCCCGCGGCCTCCACGATCCACGGCCTCTGCCCGCGGCCTCTCATGCCTGACGCTGCTCTCCCTTGCAGTGTGCCATGTGTCACTGGACGCTGCCCCTGCAGCCATCCCTCCCTCTCCATCAGGCCGTGGCTCAAGAATGACCGTGGCCAAAGGGTTGCCCCTGGCTAACTAAAACAGCAGCCCTGGCACACACACATTTCAATGTATCATTACATTTGTTATTGTTCACACTTATGCATATAGAGGAGAGCACTCAGGTCTACCATTGGCTGAATTTTCACAAGCACAAGAAACAAGATGTTGCCAGCCCTGTGAAACCTCTGGCCCTTCCCCCCTGCCCTGCCCCTCCTACCCCCAGATGGCCACAGTCTGAACGCGCCCAGAGTAGATAGTTTTTCTGTTTTGTGCTTGATGTGGAAGGAATCCTTGAGTGTGTGCTCTTGTGTCTGGCTGCTTTGTCCCATGTCCTGTTGTGAGATTTAGTCCTTTCGTGTTTGTTGCAGATCACTTATTGTCATTGGTATGTGGTATAATTTTAGTACATTTTTATTTAATAATTTATAGCCAGGTATGGTGGCTCACGCCTGTAATCCCAGCATTTTGGGAGACTGAAGTGATGAGCCGAGTCCTCGGGTTTGAGACCAGCCTGGGCAACTTAGGGAGACCTCATCTCTACAACAAATAAAAAAAAAAAATTAGCCGGGCATGGTGGCACATGCCTGTATTTCCAGCTACTTGGAAGGCTGAGACAGAAGGATCTCTTGGGCCCAGCAGGTCAAGGCTGCGGTGACTGTGAGCGTGCCACTGCCCTCCAACCTGGGTGACAGAGTGATACTCCAACTTAAAAAAAAAAAAAAAAAAAATTTATAGATTTTAATTTTTAGCTAAATAATTAATTGCCCATCTTCCGCTAGAACCTTAATCTCCTGAGCGCAAGGACTTTGTTTTGTTCACCGCTGTTTCTATCTCAATACTTATTACATAAAGGTATAATTTTTTAACTGATTTCCCCTACTTGACATGTGAGGAGTCATATCTTGTTTAATTTTCAGCCTCCAACTCCCAAAACAGTGCTTGGTACACACTGGCTGCTCAGAACTATTTTCTGAAAAAGAATTATTTTCACCTTTTTTTCTGTAAATGATTTTTGATGATATTTTTTGTTAAATATCAAAAACTAAAGGTCGGATGAGGTGGCTCATGCCTGTCATCACAGCACTTTGGGAGGCTGAGGCAGGAGAATTGCTTGAGCCCAGGAGTTTGAGATCAGCTTGGGCAATATAGTGAGACCTCGCCTCTACACAAAATTGAAACGTAAGCTGGCCTGAGCCCGTGGGTTCGAGACCTGTCTGGGCAACTTGGCGAGACCTCATCTCTACAATAAATCAAAAAATCAGCTGGGCGTGGTAGCGCGCACCTGTAGTTCCAGCTACTTGGAAGGCTGAGGTGGAAGGATCGCTGGAGTCCAGCAGGTAGAGGCTGCGGTGGCCAGGAGCAGCCACTGCACTCCAGTCTGGGTGACAGAGTGAGACTCCAACTCAAAAAAAAAAAAGAAAGAAAAGTAAGCTGGGTGTGGTGGTGTGCGCCTGTAGACCCAGCTACTCAGAAAGCTGAGAAGGAAGGATTGCCTGAGCCCGGGAGGTCAAAGCTGCAGCAAACTTGTGATTGTGCCACTGCACTCCAAACTGGACAACAGAGTGAGACCCCATCTCTAGTAAATAAAAGTATATAAAGCATGAATATTCTCATGCAGGAATTGGCAAAGCACAGTCCACAGCTGGCAGGCTATGAATGATTTTTAGATTTCAAAACGGTTTTAGAAACAAAGAAGAATATATGGCAAGAGATTGATGTGGCCAGAAAAGCATAAAATATTTTTATCTGGTCCTTCACCAAAGCTTCCAGAAAATCACTGTAGAGCTACCTCCGTGTCCTCATCACATGCAGGTGGACTCCTCCCCACCCAGGACAACTATCTGCTCTGCCTGAGTCCGGCTCCCTCCCAGCCCCCAGAGCCCATGTGCTTTCCTCATGGCTTCACCCTCCATGTACGCATCCCGCGGCAAAATAGTGTTGTCACTATGTCACTTGGTCAGTGTTTAAATCTTCTGTGTTTAGGTTTCTGGCTGTTTGTTCTATCAGTTAGTAAGAGGGGTTTGTGTATTCTTGTCTTTCTGTGATTGTGGAAGTTGTCAGTTTCTTCCTATATTTATTTTAATTTTGCTTTATGTATTATTAAGTGACTCTCTTAATCTCTTTAAAGCTTTAATGCGACTTATATGATGCTTGACATACCCAAACCACTGTGTGGCATAAATATCTCTATTCTCGCCCTGTCAGCTTTT